AGCAATTAATTTTGCAATTATATGATTGAGATCTGTTTTGGTCAACGTATAATCTTTTCACTTCTTGCATCTCGCCTTTTCGGATTTTGAGATTGATTAGTGCGGTCTTTCACAACCTTTCATTTCAAGCTCCACCGACCTATTCTAACCCCAACGCATCCACATTTCTCTATTTTTCTTAGGCTGGCAAAAAGACCTCTTTTCCTTTGATCGAAACTGAACCTACCGGGTCGCCTCTAGCGTCAAACTATTATTTAACCCCAATCGACTTGTTCATTGTGTGGCTCAGTGCCAGGATCGACCGACCATTCTGGTGGAGGCCTTGTCCCAATCACAGATCTTGAGATCCATTCGTCTTCCATGTTCCGCTGAGATTATTCTTTATGTTTTTGTTCACCATTTGGCTTTTGTGGAATATTTTGGCCTCATGTATCATGTAGAGAATTGTCGTTTTCTCATAGATGATGCCAATTTTATATGAAATTTATCATTAGACCAGAAATATGTCGATCTTGAATGTTCTCCTCCCCCACGATGACCTTTGTGGACCTGCAAAACACAACAGCATGTTCTCAGCGAAAAACCTCCGACCACCAAGTCAGTTAGAGATATCATGAATTATATTTTCAATTGTTTATGAGAACTTGTTTTGAAACTCGGCTTCAGACCCCTTTCAGTTGTTTTCGAAACATTTGCGTTATGCATGAATGATTATGTTAAGCAGCATAAAATTTAGTAGCTAAGTAGTTAAGACAGCAGATGGGATCAGTGCTTAAGTTAGCGTCTTAAGTTATGTTAGAAAGAAGAAAAGCAATTTCAGTAAGAAGAAGAAAGAGTTTTAAGTAAGTACCCTAAGAAGAGTTTTAAAAGTTAGATTGCTTTTGAAAAAGACCAAAATTATTGAGGAAAAATCAGTATTTTCTTTAAGATAAGTAGAGGGTCCTTACAAGTTGGTATCAGAATCGATCAGCGGTTCTGTGTACTTGAAAATTTTTTAAAAGTTAGAAAATTTTTGAAAATTTTCGAAAAGTTTGATCACTCGCCACCTTTGTGTCGTGCCAACTCCAAGGTAAGAGTTATGAGTTAAGTTCAGCATTTTCGTATCAGCATTCATAATTTATTTTGGGGATTAGGACTTACCCTCTGAAAAAGACCTGCGAACTCTAGTTTGGTTTGTGAACTCTAGATTAAGATGAATTAAGTTCTAAACCTTTAAAGTGCTTTAATTAAATCTAATTTTGATTAGATGTCAATTAAAGGAATAAAATAAATTAATCAATTAGATTGATTAATTAGGTTTTGGATATTAATTAAGTAATTATTGGAATTACTAAATTAATTGTTGAATTTTAAAGTTGGCCTTTAAAATTTCAAATCCAAATATACCAAGTAATTTTAAAAGGTAGTTTCATAATTATATGTAATTATCTTTATTCTTTAATTAAGATTAGAGAATTAAAAATGAAAGTTGGTGTGGTGGGTTTAATCAACCAACAACCAACAACAAATATATATATATATATATATATATATATATATATATATATATATACATGGGTTAAGTTAACAAGTTAATCCATAATTATTTATATATGGATTAAGTTAACAAGTTAGCCTATAATATACATGAGTTAGTCTTGTATGATTGATGATTATTCATTCACGAGAATGAGAATTCATTCGTGAGAAATGAATCAAACTCTCCCATGTTATTTTGAAAAGAATAAGAGTTGTTCTTGGTTATATTGAGAAAATAAAAAATAAATAAATAAAAATATTTCCTCTTTTATTTGATTCCAAAATACCAATTCAATTCCGAAAATTTTTTACTAGCGAAGAAATTGTTGTCGGAGTCGGAATCCAAATGGGTGGACTTGATTAGAGGGGAGACACTTGGATCCCTTATGGTGAGAAATACGAAGACGGTGATAGCCACATAACCGGGAATTGATTTCCTCTTCATCGTCGCTATTTGAAGAAAATTAAAGGTAATGTTCAAAATTCTCTACAAATCAAAATTCGTATTTTTACGTGATTTTAAAAGATGCTGATAATTTTATTCGCTATATGTACTTACGGATTAAGTATTTATTTGATAAATGATAATTATATTGTATAATTTCCGCTGCGAGTTTAATCCGTATAGTATAGCGAACCCAACAGAGGATGTGTATAGACTCTCGGGAGTTTACCAGCTGAAAGTGAAGAACAAATATCCACTCCCAAGAATCGAGGATCTCTTTGACCAGTTTAGGGGAGCCAGAGTGTTCTTCAAGATCGATTTGCGATCTGGCTACCACCAGTTGAAGACAAAAGAGGCAGATGTTTCGAATACGACATTTCCATCGAAATTGGCACTATGAGTTCGTGATGATGCCTTTCGGTCTGAGCAATGCGCCGGCGGTGTTCATGGACATCATAAATAGAGTGTTCCACCCTTACCTGGATCAGTTTGTTAGCGTGT